CCATTTTGTATTTGATTCCCCAAAATTTAATCCCACCCCTCTCCCGAACACTCTAGCATATACTTCTTTTACAACCCCATCTATAAATATATTAAACAACCATGGTGACATTACACATCCCTGTCTAAGGCCTACGTTTACTGGGAAGTAGTCTCCCTCTCTTCTACACACCCTAACCTGAGCCTCACTATCCTCATAAAAACTCTTTACAACATTTAGTAACTTACCACCTATTAATATACTTGCAACATCTGCCACATTGCTCCCCTATCCACTCTATCATATGCCTTTTCTAAATCCATAAATGCAATAAAAACTTCCCTACCTTTATCTAAATACTGTTCACATATATGCTGCAATGTAAACACTTGATCTACACATCCCCTACCCACTCTGAAACCTCCTTGCTCATCCGCAATCCTACATTCTGTCTCACCTCTAATTCTTTCAATTATAACCCTACCATACATTTTTCCTGGTATACTCAGTAAACTTATTTCTCTATAATTTTTACAATCTCTTTTGTCTCCCTCCCCTTTATATTAAGGGACTATACATGCTCTCTGCCAATCCCTAGGTAACTTCCCCTCTTTCATACATTTATTATACAAAAATATCAACCACTCCAACACTATATATCCCCCCCTGCTTTTAACATTTCTGTCATGATCCCGTCATTTCCAGCTGCTTTATCCCCTTTCATTCTACGTAATGCCTCACGTACCTCCCCCACACTCACATCCTGATCTTCTTCACTCCTAAAAGATGGTATACCTCCCTGGCCAGTGCATGAAATTACTGTCTCAATTTCTTCGTCGACATTTAAAAGTTCCTCAAAATATTCTCGCCATCTTCCCAAAACCTCCCTCTCCCCATCTACTAACTCCCCTACTCTGTTTTTAACTGACAAATCCATTCGTTCTCAAGGCTTTCTTAACTTGTTTAACTCACTCTAAATTTTTTTCTTATTTTCATTAAAATTTCTTGACAGTGCCTCTCCCACTCTATCATCTGCTCTCTTTTTGCACTCTCTCACCACTCTCTTTGCCTTTCTTTTACTCTCCATATACTCTGCTCTTCTTATAAAACCTCTCATAAGCTAACTTTTTCTATTTTATAACACCCTTTACTTCATCATTCCACCAATCACTTCTCTTTACTCCTGCACCCACCCTCCTATAACCACAAACTTCTGCCCCACATTCTAATACTGCATTTTTAAAACTATTCCAACCCTCTTCAACCCCCCCACTACTTATACTTGCACCAGCCCACCTTTCTTCCAATAGTTGTGAAGAATGGTTTGAAAAACCGACAAGTTGAAGATTGAGACACTTATGCAGCATATAGGAATCTTTATTCAGGAAACGTTTCGCCACACAGTGGCTTCATCAGTCCAATACAAAGAGGAAGGCGTAAGGAGAGGAGAATGAGGTAATCAGTCCCTCAACCTGGAGTCGATGTGTTCAGTCCATCAATCTTGTAGAATGTACAGCATAGGGCCGTAGACGTGGCTTATATACTGTAGTGAGGTGACGTGAAGCAGGTGGAGGCGGGGTCATAGTGGTACCATCCACTAGTCGAAGTAGGTCTACGTCCAAAGGTTGAACAAGTGTTGAAGAATTCTTTGTAACAAGATCCCATGATGCTGCAGTGTCTGACAGTTGTGAAGAATGGTTTGAAAAACCGACAAGTTGAAGATTGAGACACTTATGCAGCATATAGGAATCTTTATTCAGGAAACGTTTCGCCACACAGTGGCTTCATCAGCCAATACAAAGGGGAAAGGGCTAAGGGAAAGGGGGGAAAAGAGGAAATCGCCCCCAAACCCTGGAGTCGATGTGTTCAGTCCATCAATCTTGTAGAAGTACACATAGGCCGTAGAGTGGTTTATAGTAGTGAGGTGACGTGAAGGGGAGGCGGGTCATAGTGGTACCATCCATAGTCGAAGTAGGTCTCGCCAAAGGTTGAACAAGTGTTGAAAAATTCTTTTAACAAGACCCCATGATGCTGCAGTGTCTACAGTTGTGAAGAATGGTTTGAAAAACCGAGGGGTTAAGATTGGCACTTTTGCAGCATATGGGAATCTTTATTCAGGAAACGTTTCCCAACAGTGGCTTCTCCCCAATACAAAGAGGAAGGCGTAAGGGGGGAGGAAAATGGGAATCAGCCCCTCAACCGGGAGTCGATGTGTTAGTCCACAATCTTGTAGAATGTACGCATAGGCCGTAGCGGGGCTTTTTACTGTTTGAGGGACGTAAAGGGCGGGGAGGGGGGGGTCATAGTGGTACCATCCAATATCAAAAGTGGTCTACGTCCAAAGGTTAAACAAGTGTTGAAGAATTTTTTGTAAAAAGATCCTGGCTGCAGTGTCTGACGTTGGAAGAATGGTTTGAAAACCCGAAAAGTTGAAGATTGGACATTATGCGATAGCCACGTCTCGGCCCTATGCTGTACATTTACAAAAATTGAGGACTAAACACACGACTCCGGGGTTGAGGGATGATTCCCATTCTCCTCCTCTCCTTACCCCTTTCCCTCTTTGTTTTGGGACTGTTTAAAAGCCATGTGTGGCAAAACGTTTCCAAATAAAGTTTTCCTATATGTGATAAGTGTCCCAATCTTCACTTGTCGGTTTTTAAAAACCTTCTTCACAACTGTCAGCATGCGCTCATGGGATCTTGTTACAAAGTTTTTTCAACACTTGTTCAACCTTTGGACTAGACCTACTTCGATAGTGGTGGTACCCTATGCCCCGCCCCCTGCTTCACGCCCTACTACAATATAAGCCACTTACGGCCCTAGCTGTACATTCACAAGTTTGATGGACTGAACACTCGACCCCGGTTGGGGAAATGATTACCTCATTCTCCTCCTCTCCTTACGCCTTCCTTTTTGTATTGGACTGAAAAAAAGCCACGTGTGGCGAAACGTTTCCGAATAAAGCCCTATATGTGCATAAGGTCTCAATTTCAATTGTCGGTTTTTAAAAACCCTTTTTCAAAACGTCAGACCTGCAGCATCATGGGATCTTTTTTACAAAGAATTCTTCAACACTTGTTCAACCTTTGGACTAGACCTACTTGACTATGATGGTACCCTATGCCCCGCCCCCCCTGCTTCACGTCACCTCACTACAGTATATAAGCCACGTCTACGGCCCCATGCGTACATTCTACAAGTTGAGGGACTGAACACACGATCCGGGTTTTGAGGGACTGATTACCTCATTCTCCCCCTTTCCCCCTTCCCTTTCCCTCTTTGTATTGGAGATGAACCATGTGTGGCGAAAGTTTCCTGAATAAAGATTCCTATATGTGCTAAGTGTCCCCAATCTTCAACCTCTGGTTTTTAAAAACCCATTCTTCAAAACTGCAGACACTGCAGCATCATGGGTCTTGTTAAAAAGAATTTTTAAACACTTGTTCAACCTTTGGAGTAGACCTACTTCGATAGGGGATGGTCCCATATGACCCCCCCCCCATTTCCACGTCACCTCACACTATATAACCACGTCTACGGCCCTATGCGTACATTCTAAAAGTTTGTGGACTGAACACACGACTAGGTTTAGGGAGTTACCTCTTCTCCTCCCTCCTTACGCTTCCCTCTTTGTATTGGATAAAATGAAGCCACGTGTGGGAAAGGGTTTTCCTGAATAAAGATTCCATAGCTGCATAAGTGCCCCAAATTTTCAATTGTGGGTTTTTAAAACCCATTCTTCACAACTGTCAGACACTGCGCATCGGGATCTTGTTAAAAAGAATTCTTAAACATTTGTTCAACCTTTGGACTTTAACTACTTCGACTAGTGGAGGGTACCACTATGACCCCGCCTCCACCTGTTCACGTCACCCCCAAAAGTATAAAAGCCACGTCTAGGGCCCTATGCTGTACTTTCCCCAAAAGATTGATGGACTGAACAATCGACTCCGGGTTTGGGGACTGTTTACCTCATTCTCCTCCTCCCCTTACCCCTTTCCCTCTTTTTTGGTTTATAAAGCCACTGGGGGGCGGTTTCCGAAAAAAGTTTCCTATATGCTGCAAAAAGTGTCTAAACTTCAACTTCCAATAGTTGTTTATATCCCCCCCCAAAATTCCTCCTCCCTTTTTTTTATTATTTCACCCCCTTTTACGTTGTGCCTTTTTCCTCTTGTCCATTATCTTACTCTAACTGTATTAAACTAAAAATGATCCGATATATCAGTTGCCCTTATAAAACATGTACATCCCGGAGCCTACCCCCTCAACCTTTATCCACCAAAACATAAACAACAAAAATACTTTCATTACTGCTATATCATACCCTTTTATTTTTATTTTCCTCTTTTTCATAAGAAAGTATTCTTATTACAAACCTTTTCTACAATTTTCAATTTAAAGGCTCCCCCCTTTTCATTTACCCCCGGCACCCCAAATTTTCCCACTGTATATATATGTATATATATATATATATATATATATATATATATATATATATATATATATATATATATATATATATTTATATATATATATTATATATATATATATATATATATATATATATTATATATATATATATATATATTATATATATATATATATATATATATATATATATATATTATATTATATATATATATATATATATATATATATATATATATATATATATATATATATATATATATATATATATATATTATATATATATATATATATATATATATATATATATATAATATATATATATATATATATATATATATATATATATATCAGATCGCCCCTCATTCTCTCTAACTCCCCTTTTCACCTATCTTCTCTCTCTCCCTCCCTCCCTCTCTCCCTCTTTCTCTCTCTCGCTCTCTCCCTCCCTCTTTCTCTCCCTCTCTCTCTCCCTCTCCCTCTCGTTCTCTCCCTCCCTCCCTCCCTTTCTCTCTCTCTTTCTCTCTCTCTCCCTCTCTCCCTCCTTTCTCTCCCTCTCTCTTTCCCTCACCAAACACTCAGTATCTCACCTGCAGTGTTACCACCTGCACACACCTGGCTCCCACTGTTACCAACTACCTTCCTCTCCACTACCAAGGGACTGCACATCTGCAGAGAAAATTATACATACGTATATAAATTAACATACAAATTAATATATAAATTAATTAGAAAACACAGATTAAATCCTAAATTACATTTTGAAATAAATAAAAAAAATTAAATTAAGATATTTATATTATAATGTCCCACCAATAATACAACTGAAGTCATTGTATTTATACAGTAATAATTGTATTTGTATGTCATTGTATTATACAGTATTTTCTTTTATGTGTGATTGTATTAATCACTGTGTACATGTTTAAAGTAATCAGAATTCTTTTAGAATTAATTATATAATATATCTGTTATTAAAAGATTTTTATAAGCCAAAATAAAACCTCATTCATACACTTTGTATGAGTCAGATTACCTATGTATTAATATACTCTTGATAGACCAGATTACCTTTGTATCAGTATACTTCTGATATAGATTACCTTTGTATTATTATACTTCTGATATAGATTACCTTTGTATCACTATACTTCTGATATAGATTACCTTTGTATCAGTATACTTCTGATATAGATTACCTTTGTATTATTTAGATTATACTTCTGATATAGATTACCTTTGTATCACTATACTTCTGATATAGATTACCTTTGTATCAGTATACTTCTGATATAGATTACCTTTGTATCAGTATACTTCTGATATAGATTACCTTTGTATCAGTATACTTCTGATATAGATTACCTTTGTATCAGTATACTTCTGATATAGATTACCTTTGTATCAGTATACTTCTGATATAGATTTTAATATGCTAATTTTTCCCCAGGTAATAATTTCCGGTGATAATAGATATTTCTCAGTTTGGTGACAATAGATATTTCCCAGTCTCGTGATAATAGATATTTCCCAGCCTGGTGATAATAGATATTTCAAAGCCTGGTGATAATAGATATTTCCCAGCCTGGTGATAATAGATATTTCTCAGTCTAGTGATAATAGATATTTCCCAGCCTGGTGATAATAGATATTTCCCAGTCTCGTGATAATAGATATTTCCCAGCCTGGTGATAATAGATATTTCAAAGCCTGGTGATAATAGATATTTCCCAGCCTGGTGATAATAGATATTTCTCAGTCTAGTGATAATAGATATTTCCCAGCCTGGTGATAATAGATATTTCTCAGCCTGGTGATAATAGATATTTCTCAGTCTAGTGATTATAGATATTTCTCAGCCTGGTGATAATAGATATTTCTCAGTCTAGTGATTATAGATATTTCTCAGCCTGGTGATAGCAAATATTTCCTCAGCAAGTCTGTCAGTAAATTATTTGATGTAATATTGTATTACTTTGTGGTAGTGTTCCAGAGAGAATATTTACCATATTAACTTGTGTGTCAGTGCCACTGTGAGTGCCTTTGTTAGTTAACTGTGAGTGCCTTTGTTAGTTAACTGTGAGTGCCTTTGTTAGTTAACTGTGAGTGCCTTGTTAATTTACTTTAATTTAGATAGCAATTGCATAAATTTTTCGAATTTTGTTAGTGTAGTTTGGCTTGTTTGATCAACCTGGTTTGTTTGGAACGACACACACACACACACACACACACACACACACACACACACACACACACACACACACACACACACACAGCTTGCTCTCACCTTAGCTCTGTAGGTCACACTCTAGGAGACTGCTGGCAACACTGGTCACTTCAGGTACCAGTGTTCACAGGTACCAGGTGATTGGCATCCACCAAAGGTATCGAAATTCTTATTAGTTACCACAGGTGCTAGTAGATGGTGTTATCACAGGTTCCAGTAGATGGTGTTATCACAGGTTCCAGTAGATGGTGTTATCACAGGTTCCAGTAGATGGTGTTATCACAGGTTCCAGTAGATGGTGTTATCACAGGTTCCAGTAGATGGTGTTATTCACAGGTTCCAGTAGATGGTGTTATCACAGGCTCCAGTAGATGGTGTTATCACAGGTTCCAGTAGATGGTGTTATCACAGGTTCCAGTAGATGGTGTTATCACAGGCTCCAGTAGATGGTGTTATCACAGGCTCCAGTAGATGGTGTTATCACAGGTTCCAGTAGATGGTGTTATCACAGGTTCCAGTAGATGGTGTTATCACAGGTTCCAGTAGATGGTGTTATCACAGGCTCCAGTAGATGGTGTTATCACAGGCTCCAGTAGATGGTGTTATCACAGGTTCCAGTAGATGGTGTTAACACAGGTTCCAGTAGATGGTGTTATCACAGGCTCCAGTAGATGGTGTTATCACAGGCTCCAGTAGATGGTGTTATCACAGGTTCCAGTAGATGGTGTTAACACAGGTTCCAGTAGATGGTGTTAACACAGGTTCCAGTAGATGGTGTTATCACAGGTTCCAGTAGATGGTGTTATCACAGGCTCCAGTAGATGGTGTTATCACAGGTTCCAGTAGATGGTGTTATCACAGGCTCCAGTAGATGGTGTTATCACAGGTTCCAGTAGATGGTGTTATCACAGGTTCCAGTAGATGGTGTTATCACAGGCTCCAGTAGATGGTGTTAACACAGGTTCCAGTAGATGGTGTTAACACAGGTTCCAGTAGATGGTGTTAACACAGGTTCCAGTAGATGGTGTTATCACAGGTTCCAGTAGATGGTGTTATCACAGGCTCCAGTAGATGGTGTTAACACAGGTTCCAGTAGATGGTGTTAACACAGGTTCCAGTAGATGGTGTTATCACAGGCTCCAGTAGATGGTGTTAACACAGGTTCCAGTAGATGGTGTTATCACAGGCTCCAGTAGATGGTGTTAACACAGGTTCCAGTAGATGGTGTTAACACAGGTTCCAGTAGATGGTGTTATCACAGGCTCCAGTAGATGGTGTTAACACTTACATCTGAACCATCACTAGAATACTAATTTCCACAGGCACCACCGGCACCTTTCTACAGCAAGTCACCCACAGGTACCAAACATAAGTCACCACATTAATCAAACTCTGAGCAGCAAACCACCAGCCCGTCACACCTCCCAGGTATACACACCGGGCTACATGAGACACCAGAATATTGCTCACACAGTCTGTGTGTATCAGCATATATACCTTCAGCTCACGTTGAAGGTTTTACCTGATTCACCTGTGGCACTTCACCTGACTCATCTGTATCTACACTTGGATAAATAAGATAAGACGAATCGTTCGGACATGTGTAGCTGTTATCAGCTAAAGTGTTCAGACATGTTCAGTAACAGCAGCTGCCTTATCCGAGTCCAGGGGAAGGAACAGTAACCTGAGTAGTTCCTGGCAGGTGTGCACTCACCTGCTAGTACTCACTCACTTGTATTCACGCATTCGTGGTTGCAGGGGGACGATTTTCAGCTCCTGGCACCTCTTACAAATTTGCCACTTGACGGATGCATTCCCTCAGAGCCCTGTCGTACCTGGTCTTAAAACTGAGTATGATGACTGTCTCCACCACTTCCACTGAAGAAATACTTACTAATATCCCAGTGGCTCATCGGCCATACTACCACATACCAGACCACACTACCACATACCAGACAACATACCAGACCACACTACCACATACCAGACCACACTACTACATACCAGACCACACTACCACATACCAGACCACACTACCACATACCAGACCACACTACCACATACCAGACCACACTACAACATACTAGACCACACTACCACATACCAGACCACACTACCACATACCAGACCACACTACCACATACCAGACCACACTACCACATACCAGGCCACACTACCACATACCAGACCAACACTAACACACATACCAGGCCACACTACCACATACCAGACCACACTACTACATACCAGACCACACTACCACATACCAGACCACACTACCACATACCAGACCACACTACCACATACCAGACCCACTACTACCCACCCCCCCCCCACACATACCAGACCACACTACCACATACCAGACCACACTACCACATACCAGACCACACTACCACATACCAGACCACACTACCACATACCAGACCACACTACCACATACCAGACCACACTACCACATACCAGACCACACTTACCACATACCAGACCACACTACCACATACCAGACCACACTACCACATACCAGACCACACTACCACATACCAGACCACACTACCACATACCAGACCATACTACCACATACCAGACCACACTACCACATACCAGACCACACTACCACATACCAGACCACACTACCACATACCAGACCACACTACCACATACCAGACCACACTACCACATACCAGACCACACACATACCACATACCAGCCACACTACCACATACCAGACCAACAACTACACATACCAGACCACACTACCACATACCAGACCACACTACCACATACCAGACCACACACTACTACATACCAGACCACACTACCACATACCAGACCACACTACCACATACCAGACCACACAACTACATACCAGACCACACTACCACATACCAGACCACACTACCACATACCAGACCACACTACTACATACCAGACCACACTACCACATACCAGACCACACTACCACATACCAGACCACACTACTACATACCAGACCACACTACCACATACCAGACCACACTACCACATACCAGACCTACACTACGACCACCATACCAGACCACACTACCACATACCAGACCACACTACCACATACCAGACCACACTACCACATACCAGACCACACTACCACATACCAGACCACACTACCACATACCAGACCACACTACCATATACCAGGCCACACTACCACGTACCAGACCACACTGACACATACCAGACCACATTACCATACCAGACCCACACTACCACATACCAGACCACACTACCACATACCAGACCACACTACCACATACCAGACCACACTACCACATACCAGACCACACTACCACGTACCCGACCATACTACCACATACGAGGCCACACTACCACATACCAGGCCACACTACCACGTACCAGACCACACTACCACGTACCAGACCACACTACCGCGTACCAGACCACACTACCACATACCAGACCACACTACCACATACCAGACCACACTACCACATACCAGACCACACTACCACGTACCAGACCACACTACCACATACCAGACCACACTACCACATACCAGGCCACACTACCACATACCAGGCCACACTACCCACGTACAGACCACACTACCACGTACCAGACCACCTACCACATACCAGACCACACTACCACATACCAGACCACACTACCACGTACCAGACCACACTACTACGTACCAGACCACACTACCACGTACCAGACCATACTATGCGATCCATTACCAAACAAATCTTTTACAAGACATATTACCACAATCCATCATGATGGAGTCCCCCACCTCCCTCCATCATGGAGGAGTTCCCACCTCCCTCCATCATGATGGAGTTCCCCACCTCCCTCCATCATGGTGGAGTTCCCACCTCCCTCCATCATGGTGGAGTTCCCACCTCCCTCCATCATGATGGAGTTCCCCACCTCCCTCCATTATGGTGGAGTTCCCCACCTCCCTCCATCATGGTGGAGTTCCCCACCTCCCTCCATCATGGTGGAGTTCCCACCTCCCTCCATCATGATGGAGTTCCCCACCTCCCTCCATCATGATGGAGTTCCCCACCTCCCTCCATCATGATGGAGTTCCCCACCTCCCTCCATCATGGTAGAGTTCCCACCTCCCTCCATCATGATGGAGTTCCCCACCTCCCTTCATCATGATGGAGTTCCCCACCTCCCTCCATCATGATGGAGTTCCCCACCTCCCTCCATCATGGTAGAGTTCCCACCTCCCTCCATCATGATGGAGTTCCCCACCTCCCTCCATCATGGTGGAGTTCCCCACCTTCCTACATGAAGATGGAGTTCCCCACCTCCCTCCATCATGGTGGAGTTCCCACCTCCCTCCATCATGATGGAGTTCCCCACCTCCCTCCATCATGATGGAGTTCCCCACCTCCCTCCATCATGGTGGAGTTCCCCACCTCCCTCCATCATGACGGAGTTCCCCACCTCCCTCCATCATGGTGGAGTTCCCACCTCCCTCCTTCATGATGGAGTTCCCACCTCCCTCCTTTATGATGGAATACCCCACCTATTACTAAAATGATGGAGTTCCCCCCTCCCACCATCATGATGGAGTTCCCACCTCCCTCAACCATGATGGAGTTCCCACCTCCCTCCTTCACGATCGAGTTCCCACCTCTTACTACCATGATGGAGTTCCCACCTCCCTCCATCATGATGAAGTTCGCACCTCTTACTACCATGAGGGAGTTCCCACCTCTTACAACCATGATGGAGTTTCCACCTCTTACTACCATAATGGAGTTCCCACCTCTTACTACCATGATGGAGTTCCCACCACTTACTACCATGATGGAGTTCCCACATCTTACTACCATGATGGAGTTCCCACCTCTTTCTACCATGATGGAGTTCCCACCTCTTACTACCATGATGGAGTTCCCACCTCTTACTACCATGATGGAGTTCCCACCTCCCTCCACCATGATGGGGTTCCCACCTCCCTCCTTCATGATGAAGTTCCCACCTCTTACTACCATGATGGAGTTCCCACCTCCATCCACCATGATGGAGGTCCCACCTCCCTCCTTCATGATGAAGTTCCCCACCTCTCTCCACCATGATGGAGTTCCCACCTCCCTCCACCACGATGGGGTTCCCACCTCCCTCCTTCATGATGGAGTTCCCACCTCTTACTACCATGATGGAGTTCCCACCTCCATCCACCATGATGGAGTTCCCACCTCCCTCCATTATGATGGCGTTCCCGCATCCCTCCATCACGATGGTGTTCCCACCCCTCCTTCATGATGGAGTTCCCACCTTCCTCCTTCATGATGGAGTTCCTACCTCCCTCCTTAATGATGGAGTTCCCACCTTCCTCCTTCATGATGGAGTTCCCACCTTCTTCCTTCATGATGGAGTTCCCTCCTCCCTCCTTCATGATGGAGCTACAACCTCTTACTACCATGATGGAGTTCCCACCTCCATCCACCATGATGGAGTTCCCACCTCCCTCCATTATGATGGAGTTCCCGCATCCCTCCATCACGATGGTGTTCCCACCCCTCCTTCATGATGGAGTTCCCACCTTCCTCCTTCATGATTGAGTTCCTACCTCCCTCCTTAATGATGGAGTTCCCACCTTCCTCCTTCATGATGGAGTTCCTACCTTCTTCCTTCATGATGGAGTTCCCACCTCCCTCCTTCATGATGGAGCTCCCACCTCCCTCCTTCATGATGGAGTTCCCTCCTCCCACTTTCATGATGGATTTCCTACCTCCCTCCTTAATGATGGAGT